TTCTGGCATTTAGTAATACTGCAATAGTTGAAGATTAAACTCTTAATTATGAGTATTGATTTCTCTGGGCTTTAGAACGTGCAAGCTGAAATTGCACTAGACCTGAGATTCTCCTGTTACCAGCAAAAATAGGTATGGGTTTTCCTCCTAACACATGCTGATGTCAGTCCTGTCATGCTTTGATCAGGAAGCCAGAAGGGCAACTTTTGCTTTTCTCAGTAAGTTTGTGAAAGGCATTTGTTCACAGAGCAAAATGCCGTGTTTTGTTTTCAGTGTAGGATAGCAAAATGCTTTGATAGAAGGGCTAGAAAATGTTTGCTGTGAGCTGGCTGAGCACTGCCACTTCTGTTGAGGTTCCATGTGACAGTTTTTCTGAAGCAAGGCAGCATGAGAAGTCACTCTTCTATCCAGTTGCCATTGCGTAATGAAACAGCAAACTTCAAGAAAGTTTAAGACAAGTCCTGCTGCTTCCAGGCCAGAGCTACTGTTTCACCTGTGCCAGATGGCCATAAAGAGGACACTCCATTCACTCTCCCCACTCACTCATATGTGCAAAGCTATTTCCGAGCCTAGAGCTGTGCTTCCAGGGTGTAACTACAACATAATATTCTTCACGGGTTTTGTTTTACCTTATATTAACATTATGGGCTTTTTACTACATTTTATAAACCACCGATCTGCGTAAGTTATCCTAGAAAAAATCCTATCCCTAGACACATAGGGAAGTTCACTCGACAGGCAATGCCTGCACTCAGAGGAGCTTTGCAGGTGAGATGGGGTGCAGCTCCAGTCCCACTGAGACTGCCCCAAGCAAGCAGTGGAGAAAGAGAAGATGGGAATTCTCTTGTGTTGGCTTGACTCATTTTTCTTGGAAAGGCAGACGATGGCATGTGAAGAGGTGACAAGCGTTAGTGAAGGCTGTGTGGGGAGTGCTGCTGAGGAAGGAAGCTGCCTGTGACTCCTCTGTGCCTGGTGCATGAGAAGGAGAAAAGTGAACAGAGGTGAAAATATTGTCAAGGGCTGTTCAGGACCAGGGAGAGAAATGTGATCTTGGTAACTGCTTTTTGTTGGACTGAAGGTGGAGGCCACTTGAATTAGCACCCTGAGTGAGCTTTAATGCATGTGGCAAATGGCAATGTAGTAGTGGCGCTGCAGTAGATATCAAATGCAAGTACTACCTTAAGATCTTTTTAGATTTTTATCACTGCTGAATGGTATGATGTTAAGTGAAATAATCTGATGCATGATAATAGTATGCAGGTGAAAAATGGAGCTATATTAACCTAAGCCTGAAAGAGAAGGAAGGAAGGAAGGAGCATGAGGAAAAAGAGGTTAGAGTAGGAAAACAGCAGAGAGGAAAATAAGTCACTACAGGAATTTATTAGAGAAACCCAATGAAGTGAGGTGGCATTTCAGGTGAAAATTTGGGAGGATTTTGTTCTCAGTAATTGCTAGATAAATGATAGTGTGGGTATTGAAAGCAAGTTAGTTTAAAATAAAAGACCCACAATATGGCTATTTTAAATTCCCCTCACCTTCTACATATCATTGCAGAAAGCCACTAATTTCAGAAGAGAGGTATCCAAAAATGTAATGAAAACCACTAGAAATATTTGAGTCTATTGATGAGACATCATCAGCTTGAAATCAAAGTAGTTTATAAGAAAAATGGGTTGTTTTAGCAATTGCCCTTCATTCCCCTGTTGTTCTCCTTGCAAGCACATTTTCTTTTTTTCACAGTCCCTTTCTGTCCCTGTCGCTGTGCAAAAGTCCTAAGCACATGCATTGGGAAGCTTATCAGCTATGCAGGGGAAACACTAGAACTGAGCATAAGCAAATAGCTTTAATAAACAAATGGAAAATGATAGAAGAAATTAAATTTAAGCTTTTTTTTCTAATCTTTTAATGCTGTTCATCCGAATCTTAATGAATCAGTGGTGGAGGTTTGAGGGTTTTTTTAAGAAATACCATTTAATATATTGGTGTCCCATTTAAAGTTGAGTGATGCATGAGGCTAGAAATTTCCTGATGGGTAGTCTGAATACAACAGCGGGCAATAAAGTTGCATTAATTTATGAGCAATACTACTGCAGAGAGATGTTCCTTGAGGGGCTGCAGAGAGGTAAGGGTCTTTTATATGGGGCAGTGAGCCTCTGGGACTTTGTAGGCTCTTTAGTGTTTGGTATCTGTATTTTCCTGGACAGGCACACAGCTGCCTTTTAGTCCCTTATATAGTCCAGCAAAGGGCCTTATTCCAGAGACTGGGTACATCTCTGACAAGTACAACTTTTGTGGACCTCCAGGATGGGAAGAACAGGTTCTGACTTAAATAAGCAAGAGTGCGAGGGAAGCACTGCTGAGGAGGAGAAACTTGAAGGGAGGGTTATGGGAGATGTTGAAACCACCCCTTTCTGGGTTGTGCTGCTCCCATTGCAGCAGGATCTCTCTCTTGTGGTTGTCTAAAAAGAGCATTTCAATTAGTAAAGGGCATTTCAGTACAACTAAGGGGATCAAATTGTTTAGGTAAGCTGAAACAGCACTCTGCAAACTTTCAATAGGTTTGGTTTTTTCTGTTCATGCTACTCCCTTTAATAAGGGGAAGATGCAACAAGAAGGATTAGGTAAAGACCTTTTTTCTATGTCCAACTTTTGTTTTGTAATTAATGCATTTGAAAAAAAAAAAGCTTTTGGTATTGTTAACTTTTATCAACATATGTTTCCAGTTTCCAAAACTTGTAAAAATGTGTCTTTCCCTCTCTCTTACTCTCTCTTCACACTTGGCAAATATCTTCTTGTTCCTTGTATCAAATCAAACAGATATGAGCATGCTTTTTTAACAACCATAGATGTTTTGGAAGGGGCAGTGGGCTTCATGGCTGTACTCACACTGCCTGATAACTGTGCCCAGATGCAGCCTCAAGTTCGTCCTGCAACCTAGTGCAAGCCTATTGTGTCCCCGCTCTCTGCAAAAGGAGTCTTGAGATGGTGGGTACGTGGAGGTGGGAGGAGAATGGAGGCACCCCAAAAGGCACTAGTGCAGAAACTGGGAACGACTTATCCAGATACAGTCCTTGGTGGTTTTGGGAAGAAACCACAAGTTGGAAAGAGGATCATTAAGCCCAGGAGCTCCTCAGGGTTTCATGCTGCTTTTCAAACCTGAGTGGTTTGTTATTATTAGAAGATCCACCTCTTATACTCCCAAGTTTGCTGAGGGTCTTTTCCTGAGTCCCCTTCAAATTGGAGTCAGTTAGGAAATTCTAACCTCTAATAGTATGAATATCTGCCCTGGACACCTGGAATCTGCTAAATGGCATCAATTTATCCCTAACTCACTTGGACACTTAATTGGCTCACCAGGCTTTTTTGGGAAGATAGGAAAAACCCAGCTTTTCTGACTGTGAGGAGAAAAATAAAGATGATTAGCAGTTCATGTAAAAGAGTGTAAAACCCAATTCTGTTGTTTTTCTGGGAGAGCAGGGGAGACACAACTTTGAAACAAAGCAGGTTAAAGTCCTGTCCCACCTGTGGTTGCTAGCCTGGCTGAGGAGTTTTATTGAGCTGGTTATTTATTGAGAACATAGGTGTGCACCGAGTTTGAAGTATCTTATTTGGCCAAAGCATTGCATATGGTTGAAGGCAGGTGTGTTACTGTTCTTGCGCATGATTGCAGCTGCTGCATTTAGCTGGTTCAGCTCTTGCATGGCCATTTCCAAAGCTTTACTTGTAGCGGGAAATCAATGTTTGAGTCCTGCCCATGTTCACATGCATTTGCAATAATTAAATACATATTTTCAGTATAATTAGAAGTTCAGAATTTTTGAGATTATCAAATGGGTTTACCTTTTAGAGGAAATAAACCAAAATAACAACTTGGATCTTAAGATTTTAAAAAATTCTACCTTGGGACAGGGGAGGGATGACATGGGATGGACTAAGTAACTTTTGAGACAATGATATTGCCTTTCATTAAAAAAAATAAAAAAGTTAAAATATGCAAGAGAAAAATAGGGGCAGGAGGGGGTTTTTTGAGCTTTGAGACACTTTCCTTCTTTGTTCTGCTTATATTCAAAATTTCAGGTTCTTCCTAAATAATTTTTGTTGGGAAAGGTCCTTACAAGTTCGGAGCACTCAAGAGGTTGTTCAACTGAAGAATAAATGTCAGGTTTTGGACAAAATTATGTTTTCCTTACATTGTGTTCAGGTTTATAAGTTGAAGCTCTGTTACACAAAACAAAGCACTTCAAATTCCTGAGTAAAAATGTCCCTTCAGCTCTTCAGTTAATCAGTACCTCCTGTCTTAACCTTACGCAGTGGTGTTTGCTTTAGAAAATGGAGACCAGAAATTCCTCCATTAAAATAAAAATGAACATAAATTTTACACAGGATTGTAAGAGCCCTTCTCCTTCATATAGGAGCGGGGCAGGTTGCCATTTAAATGTTCCAGGATACATCTGCTGTTACAAATAAATGCTATCAGTCAAGATAATCCTCAGCAGCTGCTAAGTAGCAGAGTTTCACCAGCTTCTCAGAAGAGCTGTGCTGATCATGGGAACAAGCATCTTTTGATAAATGGAGGGTTTAGTTTCTGGGGCAGCGGGGGGAAGTTGTCTTTGGCACTTTCTGCATGCTTTGAACAGCGCTTTAGAAACTTTGAGGTGATTCCTTTGAAGATGCAAATGTGCGTACCCAGGTGGAGCTTGGTCTGACTCATAAACATTTGGGTATTTATCTGTGTTCATGCAGCCTTGTCCAGGTAGAGGCATGCAAGCAGGGCTGCGTGGGGAAGGCTGGCATAGCGGCTGCCCATGGGGTGATGAGCCTGTATGGTGACAGAGGAGAGGGGAACGATCTTGATGGCATGCAGGCTGGCACCCGTCATGAGTTCTCGCTTCTCCTTAGAAACTGCTTTTGAAGAAAGAGCCGAGGTGAAATGTGTACTGCGCTCTGAACCCTGCCCTGTGGATACACTCAGAGATGTCCTGTGTTTTGTTTTCAAACAGGAAAAGCCAACAACAATGTACAGTGGGATGAGGACTCCGTAGAATACATGCCAGCCAACCCAGTCAGGATCGCATTTGTCTTGGTTGTTCATGGCAGAGCTTCTCGGCAGCTTCAACGCATGTTTAAGGCTATTTACCATAAAGACCATTTTTATTACATTCATGTTGACAAGGTAATATATCACTGGTTATAAATTGCCTGTCCCTCCATCTCTCAGTCTACCCATCTTTGTCATCGTCTTCATCTTCTCTTTACCTCTGCTGCATAGAGTGCATGTCACTTTTTGTCTCCATCTGTTAGGTTTGGAGCCTTTTTTTTTTTTTTCTTTCTTGTTATCTTCTCTGTGTAACAGCCTTCATTTCTCCTTATATGTCTATGAGTATCTATCCATATGTCTGTTGTGTATTTAGTTAACAGTAATTCATAAGTAGATGCAGACTGACAGTGGTGGCCCACTGGATGGAGAGCTGACCCGAGTTACCTTGGGCAAATTACTTTACTTCACACTGTAAAAGGGAGGTAGTAACAGTCACCTCCTTTACGAAAGTCCTTCGGGATCTACTGATGACAAATGATAAATAAGAGGTAGTTACACTGATTAGTAATTACTGTAGTTGTAATAAAATAACTAAACAGCGGCCTCTACATTTCCAAATTAGCATTTAACAAAAGAAGGTTGTGCGCCATAGTAAGTGAGGGCAAAGCAATAGCAATACTCAGTGAGTCAAGAAGTAGAGTTGATGATTAGTGAATACAGGGAGGGACAATTTTGGACAGAGTAACTTGAATGTATTACTTTTTTCTCCTGTAAAGCGATCCAATTACTTGCACCGGCAAGTGCTCCAGTTTGCCAACCAGTACCCAAATGTGAGAGTCACTTCTTGGAGAATGGCAACTATCTGGGGAGGAGCAAGTCTTCTGTCCACCTACCTGCAGGCCATGAGGGACTTAATGGAGATGAATGACTGGCCATGGGATTTCTTCATTAACCTCAGTGCGGCCGACTACCCAATCAGGTACAATGAGTATTTTAAGAACGTACATGTTTTGTTCCTAAAGGAAATATGTATTGTAGGATATAAGGGATAACATGTCCATGCTGTGCTGCAAGAAGCGAAGGTTGGAGGGGCAGTTTCTTCTGTCTTGCAGTAGAAGACTCCTTTTGGTGAGGCTGGTGTCTGACAGCCACACTTGAGCCAAGGAGACAATCACTTTATGGTACCCCATGTGTCTGCCACTTACCTAGGAGGGACTGTGGCTGTGAGCAGGCTAGCAACACTGGTTTTTCACTTTTACTGAGGAAGCAGGGGCTGCTCTATTTAGTTGTTACTTCCAGCAAGGGGCATCTGCAAGAGAGGATGAGTAAAGCAGCAGGAAGCACTGGAGCTCAGCAAACAAACCCCAGGCATGGAGAGATTCGTCCCTCCCAGGGCTCTGATCAACAGTTTGAACTGATGTCTCAGAAAGTGATGAAGGTATGAATATAGATTCAGTGAAGGTAATGTTATCCTCTTCCTTTTTTTCAGTACTTTTTCTGTGGAGGATAATGACAGTAGAAGTGACAAATAAGTTGCTAGGAGTCAATTATATCTTCAGCACCAGCCGTTGCCTGAATAGCTTTATTCAGATGGCATCAGGCAAAGAACTTCACACACCACCACATGACAAGGCTCATGATTTTAAGTTAAATTATATTCTTTCTGGATTTACATAACCCACAGGCCCCACAGTTGCGTTCCATAAGGTTTACTACATTGTGCAAAAGTAGACAGTCTGTTTAAAAAAAAAAAATAAAATAAAATAAAAAAAAACAAGTGCCCTTAAACTGTTGGGTTTAGGCTATAAGAATTATCAAGAAGCAGGAAAGAGGAACTTCTTGTGACTTCTGTTTCACTGTATGTTGAAATGAATTGATGAAAGGGGAAGTAACTTTCCTGGGCTATTTTCTGGTGAGTGATGACATAACATGTTTTTAATACTCATAGAAAATAAATATATTAGATGCTTTCACTGATCAGGTTTCTGCAAGATTCTCTCAAAGTATGGATCCCTTCCTGAAGCTGCTACTCAAACAGAAATCCCTACTGAAGTGAAAAATGAAAAAAACACATGAGCATATGCTTTAGGAAGGATTTTGTGAGAGGCTTTATTGCTGGTGCCCGTTTCTAAGCAGTGTCACTGAAATGCAACACATTTTGGGGACAAAAATAGGGAAGAGCACCAGAGTCACATAGATGGCATCGATATTGGAACATGTGGATTTGAATTAAGAAATCATGATGTTTCACATTGCATCCGATTTAAATACTTTTGGTGTCCAACAGGAAGAGACCTAATAATTTTGACATATTATCCTTGCTTGTAAGGGGGAGTATGCAGTTCTCTGTATATCTCTTGAGTTTTGGGAAAAGCTAGGATGTTATTCCCTATGTTTCACTTTCCTGGTTAGGAACGCTGCACTGATGATAAAAAGTAGACTAATGCAAGAACATAAAGGAAGAGGTAGTTGATGGCACTTCAAATCAAATAAGATAAATTGTAGGAGGATAATTCTGAAGGTCTATTAGAATTATAGACTAGTTCCAACAGGTGTATCCTTCTGTGATGATGAGTCCACCCTAAACATTGTATAATGCTGAGGCCATGACCTGCGGCAGTCTCAACTGCTCTTAGTTCCCTTGTGGAACAAGTTAAACCTCAAGGCCAAATGGGATCAGTCACTTATAAACATGGCCATAAACAATCGCAGGTTTCATGGAGTAGAGTGTAGTCAGTTTAGTGTTAACGGGTTCTTTGTAATAATGCTGTGGTATCTTGCAGTCATTCAAATTCTAAACAAGTGCCATTCAGCTGGAAAAATTCCAGGTGCTCGTTTCTTCATGGGGGAAATTCTTGAAGGTCATTCGTCTCCATTGCAGCCATGCTCAGAGCTGCATGGTGGGCTCTCTGTAGCCGGGCAGGCGTCTGAAGTGCTCACTTCCCTTTCTGTCAAAGTATTCTGTTACCAGAACTGATAGAAATGTGCTTCCTCTCCACACCATGCACTTCAACAAAAAGTAAAAAGTCTTTTTTCAGTGCTACAACTTTAATGACAGTAACTTATAGGTACTGTTAAATTTTTTTGAATATGGAATATTACAGCTATAAACCCTGGAAAATGTTATCTCATCAAATATATATATGAGTCCATTTCATTTTCATAGTGGAGATGCTATAAATTAATATTTTTTATAATCTTTAGGAAGGCATTACCTCTCTGCATACCCCATAGGGAGCTGATTGTTTTTCCAGGAAATAGTCAATAGGGTGTTTGAGGGGGGTTTTCCTTCTTTCAGACCTTGTGCCATGATTTGTCAGATAATGGACTAGGGGCAGTTTACACTTCTCTCACTGGCTAGTCATATTGCAGTGTTTTTTTTTCTAGGTTTCCCTGTATAAGAACATATGAATTTTGTGGATTAATAGTTTTTATCCAGAGCTGCTTCACATTAAGCTTTCACTTCCCATCTGCCATTCCATCTGTAGCATTGAAACCTTTACTACTTCTCTTCTGATAATAAAAGCTAATCCAGCCTTATAAGTCAGAAAAACACATTCAGTATTTGGGGTTAATACTATATGATGAAGCCTAAATCTGTCCGGGGAGCAGACTGGTATGTTCACAGGCTACATTACAATTGCTAGAAGCCCTCCATCCTTCAGAGAGACATCCAGAAGCAGATGTCAAGGATCATACTATATAAAGGCAGGGGAAAAAAATATTAGAACCATTCAGTTTGGGAGGGAAACAATTAAAAATGTGTAAAATAAAACATATGCAAGCCAGGAAAATTCAGATACCCCTATTATTCTTCCTCATGCCTTAATGTTTAGTTTGTGGAGCCTGTAGGTCCAGCAGTTAGCACAAAGGAGGTCCTAATCCATGTGCTTCTAGTTGTTACTGCAGTAGAAATCCCTGGCAAACAGTCTGACACGAAGGCGCCTCCAATAAAAATACTGTGTTTTCCTTTACTCATGAGGCAATATGCTATTTATTGGCCTAAGTGAAATGATGTGACTCCATTCAGCTACGTTGTACATTCTCAG